GGCTCCGACTCCGACTCCGGCTCCTACCACTACCCCGGCTCCGACTCCTGCCTCGACGGGTCGTACCGCCCGCCACGGGTGAGTTGCAACCCGATTTGCGAAAATGCCTGCCACTGCGATGAATTGGTGATCAAGGTGGGTCCCGCTTTGAAGAAGCTGCACCTGGATTACGAGAACTAGAATATTTAGTTTGCTTGTACAGACTTTTTTCACAGAAAAGATTTTCCTCCAAAAGGATGAGCTAGGGGTTCTGAATGGACCGAATGGCAAAGGGGAAAAAGACGGAACAGAGGGAAAGGGGACTGGATGGAGGGAAGCTTTCACGACGATTGTTGGTGACTAAAACAATTCTCCTAGTTTGGTTTGGTTCATAAATTCGCAACATCGGATCACAGCACCAAGCAACGATGAGGACCTTTCTTACTTTGTGCAGCATAGTGAGCACCTTGGCCATCAGCGTTGAAGGGGCTGCTTTGTTACCTCCTAATGAGGGTGTGATTGTGAGTGGTGGGTCTTGTTATTTACCTGCAGACATTGTGATCCTCCAAGACACTACTGGAAGTTTCATGGATGACATGCCCGTTGTCCGAGCTCAGATTCCGGAGATGATTAAGCAGGTGGCGGCGCAGTTCCCTGGCACCCGTTTTGGTATCGCGGAGTTCCGTGACAAGCCTTACTTCCCCATGGGTGAGTTGACTGACTTCTGCTACAAGCTACGATATGGCGAGCTCACTGACAACGAAGTGCGGCTCCAGTTTGCCTGGGACATCCTGCAGCCCTCCGGCGGCGGCGACACGTACGAGGCTCAGTACCAGGCAGGCATCGACGTCTGCTATGACCAGAACATCGGCTGGAGGCCTCTGGTCGATGGAGCGTACAACGTGGAGACGCAGTCGGTCAACTCCGAGAAGCTTCAGCAAGCTATCCAACAGTGGGCGTCCGGCGACGAGATTGATGCCGTCGGAGCCCACATTGTCGTTATGATCACTGATGCCGAGCCCCATCTCCCCGGCGACCTCAAGATGTGCGCCGTGGGTGCTCCCGGCTGGCAGCCGGACTGGAACTGTCCCCAGAACCTCCCCGCCAACCCGGGAATCATTGTTGACGGCGACGCTTCCGTTGCCTGCACCGCATACGACTACCCGTCCCAGGAGCAGTTCCTCGCTGCCAGAAATGACCAGAACAAACTGTTCGTTTTCCTCACCACCACAGATGTGGCCGACTTCTACAAGCAACTAAGCGAGAACAAGCTGCAACAGCCGCCAGCATTCCACCAAGTCATACAGCAAGACTCCTCCAACCTCGTAGAGGCACTCATTCAAGCGCTCCAGGGGGTTGCCCAGGTCGCCTGCCCGCAAACGACAACTCCTGCACCGGTCACAACCGCTGCAGCGCCAGAGACCACCATTCCTGCGACTCCCACAGCTCCTACTACTACCCCGGCTCCGACTCCGGCTCCTACCACTACCCCGGCTCCGACTCCGGCTCCTACCACTACCCCGGCTCCGACTCCGGCTCCTACCACTACCCCGGCTCCGACTCCGGCTCCTACCACTACCCCGGCTCCGACTCCTACCACTACCCCGGCTCCGACTCCTACCACTACCCCGGCTCCGACTCCGGCTCCGGTCACTACCCCGGCTCCGGTCACTACCCCGGCTCCGGCCACTACACCGGCTCCGGCTCCTGCCACGACCATTCCGGCTCCGGCCACGACCATTCCGGCTCCGGCCACGACCATTCCGGCCGCCACGGGTGAGTGCAACCCGGTTTGCGAAAATGCTTGCCACTGTGATGAATTGGTGATCAAGGTGGGTCCCGCTTTGAAGAAGCTGCACTTGGATTACGAGAACTAGAACACATAGTTTGCTTGTACAGACTTTTTGATATTAAGAAGAGAAACAAATGCAGCAAAGGGCTTTGTAGACGGATGACGTCAAACGAGTAGTGGTCGACGAACGTGTAGTATACAACGATTGGCGTGTAGTAAAAACGGTACAAATGATACGTAACCATAGATGCTGACAAGCTTGTTCTCGGTTTGACGGGTCATTGCTTAACGTTCCAAGAGAAGAATGTCGCCGTGTGGGTTGTTCCGGTGGAGGAAGTCCGAGAAGAACGACTGGTTAAGTTGCTTCGTTTTTCCCGCCACAGCACAGCGCAAACAGTTTGGTGAAAATTCCGGTTGGTAAGGGCCTTATGCGAGAGTCGTCGTGGGCCTGGGGCTTGGTGGTTTCCTCAGGGCTCGGGGATCCGAATTGGAAGAGGGGTTTGGAACCGAATTGATTTGCAGGTTTGACAGCGGAGAGACGGGTCATGGCGGAGTCTAGGACTGGCGGCGGCGACCCAGCCAAACTGCTGGGTGTGTTGGTGGGCCTAACTGTCATGACGTCCAAGTGCGTGTTCATTTTGCAAAATGTGCACACACGTGTGCAAAATGTGCAATGTGCATACATACTCAGACGAGTCGGCTGCGACGAGCTGCCAAATCAGACGTAGGTGAAGGCGATGGTGAGGCTTTGGGCGCAGGCGGCGGCCTCCGCCTCTGTCTCGAAGGTGAGGACGACGCGGTCCGGAGCGGCTTGTTCGGCCTGCAGGAGGTTTCCGAAACTGCTACCGACGTCGATCCAGTGATCCACTGACTGTGTGGTGCAGACCGAAAGACGCGCAGTACACACATTCGGCGCCAACGGCAACGGCTCGGCTGCCCGCAACTCCGCTGGCGCACCGCGACCCTTCGTGTGGTGGATGACTGGGCCGTGCCCGAACTCGTGACCTGACCATCCCAGCTTGTGTAACAAACTCATGCCCAGAACCTGGGAGCCAGTACCCTCGCTGGGAGTCTCCTGTCCATTAGTTACCGGTCCACTAGAGGGCTGTGGCTTAGAAGACGGTCCAGTGGAGGGCTGTGGTCTAGTAGATGCCTGTGGTTCAGGAGACAGTTCAGTAGACCTAAGCTGACGGATTTTCGTGCCCCAGCACAAGTCCACATCCGGGGCGATATTGGGCCTCAGAGGGTCTACAAAACGGACATCAAAATGAAGACCGGAAGCGGCTACCGTATTCTTTGTCCAGGGGATGTAACATGTCACCCCCCCACAAGAGAGTTTTACCCGCCAAATTTGGGAGAACTCGTAACCTGCTACGGACACCCCCCCCCCCTCCCCAGTGTTCTCTCCCACCTCCCGAAATCAACCTCAGTCGTAGCCTTAGTTGTGTTGAGAGTACCTCAGTTGTAGCTTCAGAAAAATTATGCACGATCCGTCTTCCACCACGCTAGGATTGCCTCTGGCATGTTTCTCCTGGGCTGATAACATTGGAATGAACAGGAATCCACAGTATGGTTGAATCTTTTGTATGCGGTGTAGTATTGCAGCAGTGCCTCTAGCACGGTGTTGAAATCCATTACGCGACCCCAACTTGCGAGGCCGGTTTCTGGACGGTCGAAGTTGGCGTCGAAGACAGCACGAGCGCAACTACAGCCTGGAAGAGCAATGTGCTGACACCCTCTGGGGTTAAAGAAACTACAGGTCTCATTGATTCGCAGATACTTCGACACTTCTTCTCCTAGCTCTACCAGTTTGGCATCACTGACCCCGTTTAAGTCAATGCCGGGAATCGAACCCGCGACCTCCTTTGCGATGCGAGAGAACTTCAATATACGAGCTTCGTCAACCATCACCTTGTCATTGGGCTGAGCAGCGCACTTGGAGGGCTTCTCGTAGAGGACAACGGCATCAAAGATGGTTGGGAAATCGTACTTGAATGGAGCGCCAAAATAATAACACGTCAGTTTTTTTGGTGTTCTGCAAATTAGCTTACAGCCTCTCTGATTACACCGTTGCCAACTGAACTTTTTCCAGCCACCTATTGCGGCCTGCTCCCACTCATTGGAATTTACTACCGCCGCTGCCTTCTCACAAACCTCCATCCCCACCGTCAACTCAGCCAACTCCGACTTAGAAATCAGCGTCGTTACATCGTTGACGTTCGCGTTCAGCAAGCGCGATTTCACTAACACGGACACCAGTGCGTTGTCCAACGGGGCAGCGGTGGTTGTAGTGCTGCTAGTTGTACTACTGCTAGTTGTACTACTGCTAGTTGTACTACTGCTAGCTGTGCTACTGCTAGCTGTACTACTGCTAGCTGTACTATTGCTACTTGTACTAGCAGTAGTGTTACCGGTGTCAAACATGATAGA